GGCCCGGTGTTCACCGTCTATTTCGGGTCCAAGCCCATCGTGGTGCTGTGCGGGCACGAGGCAGTGAAGGAAGCGCTGGTGGACCAGGCCGAGGAGTTTAGCGGGAGAGCCCACATACCGACTGTGGAGAAGAACTTTCACGGCTTTGGTGAGGAGCAGGCGAGGTGCCATAAACCTCCCCAAACTTAAAGGGCCAGATCCCCGGCTGGTCCAAATCCAGACAGTGGAACGACGCCAGCTCCGGATCTGGCCCACTTCCAGCGTTTGCTGAGGTGATCCCCAAGCTGACAGGCTGTAGGACTGCTCGGGGGATCAGGAGAACAAAGATCCCCCATGCTAAAGCGTTCCCGCTCCCCGAGTGTGAAGCTTTGCATGTTTCACGGGGGTGGGGGAGGAGGCGGTTCCCTTTTAAGCACGCATGGTCCTATCACGCCATTGTGTGTCCAGATTCCCCGCAAGCTTTGCACCAACCAGCCAATGCAAACCCCCCCCTCAGCCCGATTGAACCCCCCAGAAGAGCGGGGTTGGTGCAGTTTGCGTCACTGGACCAGAGCTGGGACCTTCCCTTCGCCACCCTCCCCCTCAGCCTGTGCCACAGCACCTCGCTCCTTTCAACGGCCGTTCTCCTTCCTGGGCTGAAACCCCTCGTCTCCCCCCAGGGGTGGTTTTTGCCAACGGGGAGCGGTGGCGGCAGCTACGCCGGTTCTCCCTCACCGTCCTGCGGAACTTCGGCATGGGGAAGAAAAGCATCGAGGAGCGGATCCAGGAGGAGGCCCAGTTCCTGCTGGAATCCTTTCGAAATACAAAAGGTGACTCAGGGGAGAGGCGCTCACCCTACCCCCCGGGGATCGGCTCCAGCCCGGGCACCACCCAAGTCCCGCTCAAGCCCTGGTGTGAGGATTTACCCAGCGGCGGGGCTGCTGACTGCCTCTCCGCGCAGGGATGAACATCGCCCGCTTTGAGTTTCCTCCATGCGCAGAGGGATGTTAAAAAAACCAACCACAGGGCATGTTTAGTCTTGAGAAAAGACGACAGAGGGGTGGGGGGGGGGGGGGCGGGGACCCAAGAACAGTCTTCAAATCTGTTCAGGGCTGTTACAAAGAGGACGGGGATCAGCTGCTCTCTGTGTCCACTGAAGGTCGGAGAAGACGTCATGGGCTTAATCCGCAGCCAGGGAGATCTAGGTTAGATATTGGGGAAAACTTTCTCACTCGCAGGGGAGCGAAGGAGGTTGTGGGATCCCCGCCACGCAGGTTTTTAAGAACAGGTGGGACAACCCCCTGTCAGGGCTGGGCTAGGGTTAGTCGGCGCGGGGGGCGGGACTCGATCGCTCACCCCACGGCATCGTAGCAATGTCGGGCTGGAACGACTCGGGCAGACAGATCTGGGTTGAAAGGTTGTGGAGCATAGCACACAGGACAGGACACCTCTGTACCACCCCTGGCGTCTCTGTGTGGAGTCACAGATTCCAAGGGGAGGCGGAACCGCTCCAAAGATCTAGTCTGACCTCGGGCACAACACCGGCCCGAGAAGTCCCCGGAACAATTCCTGTTTGAACTGTTATGAAGCATCCGAGTCCGCTCCTAAACTCCCTTCATGTTGGCTGCTCCTCTTCCCCCAATGACCGCACGACCCCTCTTCCCTTCTCTCCCCCGCTACGCCAGCGGAACCTTTTGACCCGACGTACTTCTTGAGCCGGGCCGTCTCCAACGTCATCTGCTCCATCGTCTTTGGCGACCGCTTCGACTACGAAGACAAAGAGTTCCTGTCCTTGCTGCAGATGATGAACGAAAGCTTTAGAGAGATCAGCACCCCGTGGTCACAGGTATGTCCTGCTCGAAATGAAACGGTCGCTATTTTCACTGCATGTGGGTTACTGCAGATAACTGTGTTCTGCGCCGCCAGAGCAAATGCAGAGTGATTCTATAGACTTCAGTGAAGGGACTCCAGAGTCACACCGGCGTGACTCCAGATTCACACCGGCGTGACTCCAGATTCACACCGGCGTGACTCCAGATTCACACCGGCGTGACTGACAGTCTGGCTCCGGGGATGCACCAAAAGCCGTTCTCTGTGTGTCCCTTCTCTTTCCAGTTCTACGACATGTATGCAGATTTTCTCAAATACTTCCCTGGCCCTCACATGAAAATCTACTACATACTGGAAGACATGAGGAAATTTATTGAGAGGAGAGTGAAGCAGAACCAAGCAACGCTGGATGCCAATTCCCCCCGGGATTTTATCGACTGCTTCCTGATCCAAATGGAAAAGGTACGGGGCTCTGGGAGCTGAGTGAATGGCTCGGATGATCTTCGAGCAAACACAGCACTAGGGGCCCCATGAGTCATGCAGTTTTCACCCATAACAAATACCAGGATCCCCCCCACCCCAAAATAGCATCAAAGTGATTTTGCAGAGTTCAGACAGGAATCGTTTTGCAAATCTGTACTTTTAAGACCAGCTCTCCTGTGGCTGTGGAAATCCCCATGCTGAGGTTTCAGCGTATGTTGATTTTCCCCAAGGAAAAGCAAAACCCTTCCAGCGAATTTAACACCAAGAACTTGGAGCTGACCACGCTCAACTTGTTCTTCGCCGGCACGGAGACCGTCAGCTCCACCCTGCGATACGGGTTCCTGCTCCTGATGAAACACCCAGAGGTCCTAGGTAACTAAGGAAAGTTCATAAACATTCACTGAATTCCACGGGTCAAAACCAGGGTGAAATGTGCAAAAGGCCCGTGCACCGTATTTAGGGTATGTCTCCACTGAGCACTAAGCCCAGATCTGTGGGACTTTGGCTTGTGGGCTTGGCGTTTCCAAGCCCGTCTTTGAGCATCTGCCTGGGTTTGCTTGACCCGGGTCTCCCAGCCCTGCTAACCCGTCCGTACTGCACCACGGAGACCTCCTGACACGGGCTGTGTCCACACTGCACAATGACAGGGCTTGGACCCGAGTTACAGAGGGCCTGGGGCTCTGACCCACCCCCCCAGCAGGGTCCGAGGACCCAGGTCCTGAGCGTTCGCTGACCCGAGTCAGACTGATTTGCAGGTGGAGATCAGTATCATTATGGGGAAACTGAGGCACAGGGCCTGAGGTCAGCGGCAGAGCCGGAAAGAGAATCTGGGTCTTCCGTGTCCAGTCTGGTGCTCTGCCCTCTAGGCGCTGGGAGTGAATTTCACCCTAGCCAACAGGTCCCCGCTCTCCCCACTTCTGAGCGGCTCCCGGGATCCGCCGGGCCGGGGGGTAAGCTCTGTGGGTGTCGCTGGCAGGGAAGATGCACGAGGAGATCGACCGGGTGATCGGCCAGAGCCGCGTCCCGGCCATCGAGGACCGGAGCCAGATGCCCTACACCGACGCCGTCATCCACGAGATCCAGCGGGTCAGCGACCTGATCCCCATGGACTTGCCCCACATCGTGACCCGGGACACCCAGTTCAGAGGCTACACCATCCCCCAGGTGAGGGGTGAGCCGGTGGGGGCGCAGGGGGAGTCCGGGTCCGATTCTCAGTGGGTATAAATGGGGATCTGGGCCCATTGGCAGTTACCCGAGACCTGCCGCTGAGTGGCTCTGTTCCCGCGTGATCCCAGTGTGCAGGGCAGAGAGGTGGGCATGCCCGGGGGGGGACGGCACCCACCCAGCTCGTCTCGTTCTGACCGCCTGGCGCTCTGCTCCCAGGGCACCGAGATCTACCCCATGCTCAGCACCGTCCTGCGCGACCCCAGCAAGTTCAAAACCCCCGAAAGCTTCAACCCCGGGAACTTCCTGGAGGAGACGGGGCGGTTCCGGAAAAACGACGCCTTCGTGCCCTTTTCCTCAGGTGAGCTGCCTAATGCGGACTCCT